CACATCATCGTTAGAAAATGTTCCGTAACAGTTTAGAATTCCGGTGACTGGGGTTAGATTCTGAGAGTTCATAGTCACCAGGTTGCGCATGTTAATGTCTAAAACTAAATCGTCCTCGCCATTAAGTGGCTCGTTAAATCCCACACCCATTTCTGACATCACAGTGTCATGTTTCGCGGCGAATTGAAGCAGTGCAACACGGTAAAATGAAAAGATTGGAATTTGAACGTCGGGCACCTGCATTGCAATTCTCTGTAAGGTTTAAAACATCGTTAAACCAATTCCGCCAATTGTAAAACTCAAATGAACAGTTTGGGGTTGTGGTTCAACCTTCTGCGAACTCACCAAATAAATCACTTCGAAGTCTGTCAAGATTAAGCTTCTCAAAGTCACTGATTCATTTTTACTATCACGAAATGTTTGTGATCGGTGTCGTCTATTTGAGCTTCTATTTTGCTGGTATCTGTGACAATTAGGGACTCCACCATGTGACGATCGGGGACTCCACCATCGATGATTGGGACTGTTGGGTGACGTATGGTTAAAAGGCCAAACTTACATTATAACGGCTTTATTTCTGAATGCTTCTACATTACAAGCAATATGGGTTTATATACAAAACTAGAACACTACGTCATATACACGAGAAATACATGTTTGCAATTCTCACAATAAATTTCCACGTAAATCTACTTGAGAATCAATTAGTCTGCAATAATCTGAAACTTTCCTGTTGCTTTTATGTGGGAAAATAATTATTATATTAAAGTAAAGTAAAATTAATAAATCAATAAATAATATGTTCTTATTTCGTGACAATATCCAACAAAATACTTTCATGTTCTAAATAGTCTTGAATATAGGCTCGTCGTGTTTCCTATGTAGTACACCAGTTACGCCAGCCACTACACTCTTGTATAATCTTTAAAAATTTATAAACAAATTTAGAGAATAAACCGCCAGGCTTGGTATCGCCATCAAATTGTGTTACTTTATACTCCCATATTTCATAAATTTACAGGACTTTATAATTTAAAGATGGCTTTCCGCAATTCATCAGCTACAAAGGTACCAGAAAACTTACGATCGTCATATGTGTGAATACATTGCTCTTGGTTTATTGTATCCACACAGGTTTTACATAACGAAAACGTAAGTTTTTTATTATATGTATACTATAGTACAGGGTGGTATAAAGTTTGAGGGGTTAACACAGAACATTTAAGACCTTCCACATAATTCATTGGTAATTATCTGCAGTCTTTGTCACCGATGTAAATTTTAGGGTACCCCACAGAGTACTTTCCATATTTATTTATAAATGGATATAACGTGCAAACATCAAAATAACAAATTTGTTCGTTTTCATCTGAAACTTTATAATATTTTCTTAAAACATTTGTGCGACCATCATAAAAACTGTCTCTTGGATTCAATGGTAAATCTGAATATTTATAATTATTATCAATGTAACTTCTTACTACTTCCGTATTTTTTAATAAAGACTTAAATTCGCATTCTGTAAATGAAGGATTTTTTGCACCCATGAAAATAACAACCATCGAATTCAAAGACAGTGGTAGCCTCACAAAAGCCGTCAACTAAAATATTTTCTTTTAACCTAACATATTTTTTTACATGGCTTACAATAGTATGAAGTTGCAAAGGCTGCAGTTAAGCTTATTATGAGGTTATAATGGTTGTTATCTAAAATTAAATTTATTGTTTTACGTCTATTGTCTCGCGGTCCCCTTAAAATAAACTGCGGACCCGTTTATAACACTGTACACAACAATCGTAAAATCGTTTAAATAATCTTGAAAGCTTTTAATGTGATCATAAGTTCCCCCGTTCGAAATTAAATTTATTGTTTTACATCTATTGTCTCGCGGTCCCCTTAAAATAAACTGCGGACCCATTTATATCACTGTACACAACAATCGTAAAATCGTTTAAATAATCTTGAAAGCTTTTAATAAGTTCCTCCGTTCGAAAGATCAACATTACTATCCCTACATAATTTTAAGCCCCGTTGTTTTGAAATAATAAAATTATATCTGTTTTTTAAAATCATCCTAATTAACCTTAAAGGCCAGACAATAGTTATCATTATTATTAAAAATAGTTACTATACCTCGCTTTTTGGCACAAAATCCTGATACGTTGATCCTTTTAAAGCCAGTCCTGCGCCATTACTATTGGGCATCTGGAACCGATCAATTGTCGTGGTTCGTAAATTATTCCTTAAAAGGCTTGCATTACTCTGCAAAACTTTACCTAAATGACATTGGTGACGGCCTATCGGGAAAATCGGCGTTAAAAAAGTACTCTATCAGTATTTGCGAATCCACGCATACCATTAATAATAAGAGCGTTTAAACCTCTCTAAAAATAAAAATATGTTATAATATTGTATACAATGATTTTATTATTTTCAAAAATACTTACTCTTAGCCAGCCTAGCAGTTAGGTTAAATCTCCGGATTTCATGTTCATATTCGTTAATCAAAACGATGTTTTCAATAGTTTGAGAAGCTATTATTAAACACTTTAAACTCGGAAGTTACTGTTTCAAATTTAAAATTTGAAGTAATAATAGAAAGTTTGTGAGGGTTTATATATTCAATTTTAAAGGTAATTAGTACCTACAAATAAAAATATAATGTACCTACTAAAAGATAACAACATTTTTATAAAAAATAAACATAGTTATACCATATTTCCTATTACATTTATACATTTTTTTCAGCATTTTTGTTTTAGTCCTATACCAATGCCTAAGCGTACATATATCCCTAAAACTTTTTAATATATTATTTATATTATCAATAAACTGTAGTTTACTCGCACCTCCATGCATATCCTCGATGGGTGTTAATAATTCCCGCTCAAGTTTAACACATCTGTCATGTATATCCATTTCCAGTGTTTTGGAACTTAAACGTAACTTCATATTAATTTTTGTTTTCATGCTTTTAAATGGAGATTCTTCTTCATAAAATTTGGAATAAATTAAGTTTGCCTTTTTAAAAAAATAATATTCTGCCTTTATTTCTCTATTACAGCCTATATTCGTAATACAGTGATTCAAATTACAAAACAAACAAACCTTGTCTTATGAGTTTTTTCTCAACAAATTCACAAACATAATTAAATAACTGTTCATCTTGTTTTCTTGAATATACAGACTTTAAATGATTGTACGTAAAATCTTTAAGTGTTTTATCAGATAATCTTGTATTCATTTTTACTTTGTATGCATAATTTTTAGGGCCACCACGGACAAATTCAATAATCTTACTACCCGGACCATATTCAGATAATTCATCGGTAAGCATTCCCAACTAATCGCCAACCTCTGGTTGCCATTCACCTGATTTATGTGTGAATATAAAACTATCTGTGTCAAAGTAAAGGACTCTGCGATCGAGTTTTTCTAAATAAGCATACAATTATAACCGCGCCATTGCAGTGGTATATGCTGCTATAGCGAAATTAACAGTTTTTAATGGCGTTACTGCTTCTTCATGCTCACTAATTACCAAATTATTAACAATGCTAGAGGGGTTCGTAAGCATGTTTATTAGTTTAAAGGGTTCACTTGTATTCATCAAGTTTAGTCTCTGGTCAAATTTTCCCCAAAAACTATTTAACATGAGTTTTGCGATAAATCTCATACCCGGGTTATTTAATATTTCTAAGATATCCAACAAAATACTTTCATGTTCTTAATAGTTTTGAATATAGGCTCGTCGTGTTTCCTATGTAGCACACCAGTTACGCCAGCCACTACACTCTTGTTTAATCTTTAAAAATTTATGAACATATTTAGAGAATAAACCGCCAGACTTTAGAATTTAAAGAAATGGCTTTCCGCAATTCATCAGCTACAAAGGTACCAGAAAACTTACTATCGTCATCTGTGTGAATACATTGCTCTTGTATCTTGGATCTTGAGGGGTTAACACAGAACATTTAATTAGACCTTTCACAGAATTCATTGGTAATTATCTGCAGTCTTTGTCACCAATGTGAATTTTAGGGTGCCCCACAGGGTACTTTTCATATTTATTTATAAATGGATATAACGAGCAGCCATCAAAATAACAAATTTGTTCCTTTTCATCTGAAATTTTATAATATTTTTGAAAATGGTAAATCTGAATATTTAAAATTATTCCACTATATACCTTTTAAAATTCTATCCCTTTAAGCTTCAGTTAACTCGCGTCTTGTAAACATAAAATTATATTTTTCAGTATTATTCTGAAATGATGTGGTTTGGTGTGGGAAACATTTTTCGCACCCATGAAAAAAACAACCATCGAATTTAAACACAGTGTTGGTAGCCTCACAAAAGCCGTCAACTAAAATATTTTCTTTTAACCTAACATTTCAGTTCTACATGGCGGTGAAGTATTATGACAATTAGGGCATATAAACTGCGCACCAGTCAATGTGTCGCGACCAAAAATTTCGTCCTTTTTCAAAACGACATAACTTTTTTGTTTCTTGAACGATTTTATTTTGGTTTGTGATGTCTGCTAGCCCCATTCTCTGGAAATGCATGCTATAGATATGAAGCTCACGGTTCTTCAAGTAAATTTCCTACAGGGTTTCAATAACTTTATCCAAGCCCCGGTTGTAAAAAAAAATATTTTTTTTTGTTTTTACTTTGAAATAATGAAGTATTATGTCTTACCTTGAAACCTTTTTCAAATTTTTCGAATTGGAATCTTAGCAACAAAAATATGATTTTTTTTTCAAAAGAGTACATTTGATGCTTTTTTGTAGGCAATACACTCAGCCTTTTTAACATAAAAAAGATAAGATGGTGAAAGATTGCTCCTTGAATAATTCTGAACAAGCGACAAAGTTAGGTTAGGATATCGCAAGCGTGCTATAAGTGCAATAACCAATGTGTTTTAAAGGAGAACAAGTTATTTGGTTACCCCTGTGATTTCTGCAGGAAGATAATATGTGGAGAGTGTACCGGCTTAATGGCTCAAGAAGTACCTAGTCCATCACGAGCTACAATGTATTTCTGCCCAGAATGCAAGAAATCAATCAAAAAGCTACCCCAACTACAAAACAAGGTACAAAAGACTGAGGAAGAGTTAAAAGAAACTAAAGAGCAAGGTGATACAACAGTAAAGAACCTGGAAGAACTTAAGATTGAAGTAGACTCACTTAAAGGTTCGGTGGAGCAAATCAGAAAGGAAAATGATGAAATTCGGAAGGAAATAAGTATAGTTAAAGAGGAAATGAATTGGAAAATTACCAGAGTCAAGCTATGCCAAAGCACTAAAGAAGCTTGAAATGAAAGTAGAGACAATTAAAACACCAGAAGTAACCAACATTGAGCCAGCATTATTTGAATTAGAGGAAAGACGGCGCAGAGCAACCAATGTTTTAATATTTAGCGTTGAAGAGTCTGGAAAAGATAATATGCAAGAAAAAGCAAAAGAAGACCAGGGAAAAGTCGCAGGGCTATTTTCAAAAATGAACCTTAGACTACCTGAAATGGCTAAAGTATACAGACTTGCAAAGGAGAGAGCTGACAGGAAAAGACCTCTTAAAGTAATCCTGCCAACAAAAGAGGAAGCGTTGAGTGCACTCAAATACAGAAAAGTACTCGAAGAAAATCAAACCGGGATTTACATAAAGAGTGACCAAACAGAAGTCCAAAGGAAATTCTTAAAAAAATTACTGGCAGAGCTAGAAAAACTTAAGGCAGAAGGTAAAACCAATCTAATTATTAAATACATAAATGGAACACCTAAAATAATTAAAAAAACTGAAAAAAAACTAAACTTGTCTGGGGTGGTTGAGGTATCATTTTGGTATAGTAACCTGAGTTCAGTGGTTAATAAAATTGACGAATGGAAAGCAAGAATTTTGTCAGCAAATCCCACTTTATAATGCTCACAGAAACCTGGTTAAAAGAAAGCATGAGCGATAGCTTGATTCACATAGAGGCACATACCGCGAAGACCGCCAAAATCAAAAAGGAGGTGGTGTATGTATCCTAGCAAAAAACGAAATTAATGGATATAAAATTAGTAGCAGTATTTCAAGCAATTATAAGTTCCAAGCACCAAAGTATGGCTTGATATCCAAATAGAAAAAATAAATGTATCTCTTGCTTGTATTTATAGGCCAGAAACTACGACAAGTGATGAAGCCAACACTCACGTGATAAATAACATAAAAAATGCTTACACTCGATGACAAAATTAACCGGACACTAGGTTTTCTAGGAAAATATAATAACAGATATCTTAATTTTTAATAATTTTAATTAAATCTTAATTAATAAACATTTTAAAAAAAGGAAAACAAAAAATTTTCTGTAAAATGATTTTAAAAATAAAAAAATTCAAAATTTGAAAAAAATGTTTTTGCAAAAGATGCCTCAAAAAATCTTTAATAGTGAGTATTTCCTCCTCGAGCTTGAATCACGGCTCTTATCCTTCGTGGCATACTTTCTATTAACCCAGCAACCTCATTCTGGGATATCTGCTCCCATTCATTTAACAGAGCTTGTTCTAGTTGAACCACAGTGTGAAACTCGCCATAGTTCAGTGTAATCCTTCTTCCTAGATTGTCCCACATATGCTCTATTGGGTTTAGGTCGGGACTCCTTGGTGGCCACCCCAACACCTGAATATCAACATCCTGAAGGTACTGACGAGTTACCCGGGCAGTGTGCGGTGGAGCATTATCTTGCATTAACAAGAAATTTGGTCCTATAAATGGAGCAAAAGGTACCACATGCTCTTCAAGACACTCCCTAATGTACCTGTCAGCGTTGATGCTGCCTCCCCGAAACGTAACAAGGGCCGTACGAGCCAAACATATGCCTGCCCATACCATTATACCGCCACCACCAAATTGTACTCTTGGAGCAAAGCAACACTGGTTATATCGCTCCCCAGGTCTCTTAAACACAAGTTGACGACGATCTGAAGCATATCTCGTGAAATGGGACTCATCTGTAAAGAGACATGACTGCGCGCAAATTCCAAGCGCTGTCTGCGATGAGCTGCATCCAAAAGAGGGCCAGTGGCAGCTGTATGAGGAGTGAGATTTTGCTCTCTCAACCTTCTTAATACTGTTCGTGATGAAACCAAGGTCCCATGCACGTCTGCCAATCTCCTACTCAAAGCTGTAGCAGGAAGTGTCCGATCTCGCAGAACTTGGAGTCGAACAAAACGGTCTTCAACTGCGTTTGTGTGGTCTTCCTTGTCCAGGCAATCTTGAGTAAAAACCAGTTTCCCTGAACCTTTGTATCGCATCAGATACTTGTACTTCGCGGTACATTAATCAAATTGGCGACAAATCGGATACTGTGTCCTGCATTGTGAAGAGCAACAGCTTGAGCAGCTTCTTCCGAAGTCATGACGAATTTTTTACAATAATTCACAATTATACACCTCTAACACTATTATATTCTTTAAACAACCTTCGAAACTCGAAGCAAACAGCAATTAAATTGAATTGTAGAGCTCTGTGAAACGTAAACAATTTGAAAAAATTGCTAAAAAAAGTGTCCCCGTGATATTTGAAAGCCAAAAAAACTTAAACTCATTTAATTTTATTTGTCTGCATATGTGCATAGCTGTTAAATTAATATACAGGCGTTTTATAAAATTTGAAAATGGTCTAATAAAAACATCTTAACCTAAGAAACTCTTCAGTTACATAAACCGTAACTTAAACTCGAAAGTATCAAACATAACCTTAAAAGACCCAACATCCCAGCAGTTTCTAGACAGTAAATCCATGTCAGAAAAATTTGCAGAGCACTTCGACACAGCCTTTACAAATGAAGCATATCCCATCACAGCCCTACCTGACCATAGTAGAGTGGAAAACTCGATCGAAACTGTGAATTTTACAACCAATAAAATCAAAGAAGCACTTAAAAGTATGAAAAAGGAGTCAAGTCCTGGACCAGACAAAATTCCAACAATTTTTCTTCAAAATTGTAGCAGTTCAGTGAGTCCTTTACTCGCAGAGGTAATGCGGGAATGTTTGGACCAAGGATAGATCCCAGAACCATGGAAATATTTAATTGTCATGCCACTATACAAGAAAGAAGATCGACACAGACCAGAAAACTACCGGCCTATCAGCCTTATATGCAACCCTCTATAATGCATGGAAAAAATCATAGTCAAAGAATTGATATCGTTTTTCCTGGAAAATAACCTTATACCCTCTCACCAATATGGATTCCTACTAAAGCGTTCAACAACAACCAACCTTTTAGAATGTTTAAACGACTGGACAAAAAACCATGACAACGGTCAACCAACAGACGTAATCTATCTCGACTATGAAAAAGCATTTGATAAAGTCCCACATAACCTTTTAATAGCAAATAGAACACTATGGAGTCAGAGGAAAGCTACTTGCCTTGATTAAATAATTGCTTGACGAAAGGTATTATCAAGTTATAGGTTAACGGAGAACTTTCCAGCCCCCACAAAGTGAGCAGTGGCGTTGTCCAAGGATCAGTCATTGGCCCAGTTCTGTTTACAGCATTCCTTTTCGATCTGATTGAATGTACAAAGTCAGCCACTAAACTGTTTGCAGATGACTGCAAAATATACGCAAATCGTTTAACCAGCTCAGACCAACTCCAGGCAGACCTGCAGAATATCGAAATTTGGTCGAAAAGATGGGGTATGAAACGCCTCTAAATGCACAGTGCTAAGGATCGGTCCAAACAACCCTAACAATAGATATATTCTAAATAATTTCAGCCTGATATCAGTAAACGAACAAAACGATCTTGGGGTTCTAATGACTTTAGACTTAAAGTGGGATAGCCAAATAACCAATCTGTAAAAAAACAAATTCCTTTGTCTATTTGATAAACCAAGCTTTCAATGATCACTCTATTAAAATGATATTCACGTTGTACAAAACCTACATAAGACCCAAAATCGAATATGCTTTTACTGTGTGGAACCCATATTATGTGAAAGATATCGAACTCCTAAAGAAAATACAACGTAAAGTGACTAAAATTCCGCTAGAGTTAAAACACATGCCTTATCCAGAGAGATTAATTAAATTCAACTTGACATCTCTTAGAGAGCGAAAACATAGAGGCGATTTAATCGAGACTTTTAAAATTACTAGCGGTTACTACCAATGTGATGTCAGAAACATTTTCCACCCCAGTCAAAACCTCCATCTACGTGGACATTCAAAAAAACTTGAAAAAGAACGATCAGCCAAGCTCCCCAGAAAAAACTTTATCGTGAACCGAATAGTCCATTCTTGGAATTCTTTGAAACAAGAAACAGTGTCGGCCTCGAACACGAATGTTTTTAAAAAATCGCATCGATATTGAGCTAAAGCAGAACGCAGAACGAATTGTTCATTACGGCATGTAAGCAGAGTCGAAAAAACCAAGAAAGAAGTAACAATAGCTTCATCGGTTTAACCGCCTGCTATTGTCAACCATATTATTATTATTATTATTAATTTCAGAGGAACCTAAGCAAAGACCACTTTTTTAAAATGACATTTTGGAGAAAATTTGCGAAAACTAAACCTGAACCGATATTTACGTTCGTGACATGTTTGCTTTATAATTTTGACCTCCTGATGTGATTCAGTTGTTAAATTTAAGTTTTAGATAAAACTAAAATAACCAAGAATCAAACTTCGAAAACAATTCTTGGCTGTTAAATGTCTCAATAACATGCCTTTGCCAATGCCATTTGGGGATTTATTTTTTGGGCGAAATTACTGCAATTTGTTTGAGTTGTTGGAATAATGTAACATAAATTACATTTATATTGCGCACTAGTGATAACTTATTACTGATAAGTACCTAATAAATACAAAATTTGTTTACTCATTTTTGAAAATTTTATGCGAAGATATAATCATAATAAAAACTACAACATTCAACACAAAAATGTAACAAACAATAACAATAATAACTTTCATTATTTCGTTGGCCCTCCCCTAACCCGTAATAATTCGTTAACCCTCCTGGGCATTCCCCAGACCAAGTTTCTTAGAAATTCCTGGGGTATGGCTTCCCATTCTTCCTGAATTGAATTTACCAATTCATCCAAATTTTCCATGCGTTCTTTCCTCTCTTTCATCTTCAATTTCATCCTGCTCCACACATGCTCAATAGGATTCATATCCGGAGACAAAGGTGGCCCATTCATTATCTCAATATCGTGGCCCCTTAAATACTCATTTACGATATTAGCGCGATGCCGACGGGATTGTCGTCCACCAACACCGAACACATTTAATTTTTATCATTTGATCCTTGATTTGATCATTCAGTGACATGATAACGTACTATAGATGCAAAACACAGTAAAAAAACAGTTATATCCAGCAATCAGATTTTATTGAGACATTTAACAACCAGGAATTGTTTTAGAATTTTGATTCTTGGTGATTTGGTTTTATCTGAAACCTAAATTTGACAACTGAATCACAATCAGGTCAAAATTATGAAGAAAACATGTCACGAACGTAAATATCGGTTCAGGTTTAGTTTTCACCAAAATGTCATTTTGAAAAAGTGGTCTTTGCTTAGGTTCCTCTGAAAATAATGGAAGTTTTTGCTTGTCGCTTGTTCAGAATTATTCAAGGAACAATCTTTCACCATCTTATCTTTTTGTTCTTAAAAAGGCTAAGTGTATTGCCTACAAAAAAGCATCAAATGTACTCCATTGAAAAAAAAACATATTTTTGTTGCTAAGATTCCAATTCGAAAAATTTGAAAAACGTTTCAAGGTAAGGCATAATACTTCATTATTTCAAAGTAAAAACGAGAAAAAAATATTTATTTTACAAACGGGGCTTGGATGAAGTTATTGAAATTTTTCACTGTTTTACATATCACCCTGTAGTAAATTTACTTGAAGAACCGTGAGCTTCATATCTATAGCATGAATTGCCAGAGAATGGGGCTAGCAGACATCACAAATCAAAATAAAATAGTTCAAGAAACAAAAAAGTTATGTCGTTTTGAAAAAGGACG